TTGAATAATAATCAATAGTTTATCTAATTTTGATCTTCTTTCCAAAAACTGTTCCGGATGACATTCTGTATTGCCTAATTTGGTAAGATATTCCTATTAAAGAAAAACAACTAAATCAGAATTAAAGGCTTTTTTTGCAAATATCAACTTAACACTAGAAATGCAACATGAAGTGATAAATTTAATTGCTACTAGGAAAATTAACTATGCAAATAGGAGACCTCAGTGCTCCACCACTCTTATAGAAGAGGAATAAAAAGATCAGAGCTTCACAAATCACTTTCATAATGTTAGAGTGCTATGCAATTAGAGCCAAGTAAATGCTAGTGTGAGGTGGCAGGACTAACTGTAAGACCAACGGATTAGCCCAAATTCTTGAGCAGGCTTTTAGTTATTATGGGAAAGCCAGAGCCCAATCATTAACCGCTCCCTCATTCTCTGTCTTTCTTTAAGCAGACCCTTAGTATTTGCAATAGTATTACTGGAATATTCCTCTCCAGAGTCACAAAAGGCTTTTATGACATCTTAACATCATTTAATTCACAACAGCTCAAAAAGTGCTCCTATAGAACCTTAGTATACACAACGGTATTCACACAGTAATTAACCATTTCCGTCAAGTTTATATCTCCGAGCAGAGCACATCTAACACTTCCCTCCATGCTAGTGACTTGGTACTGCCTTTCCCAGGACACAGGGTTCCCTTTGCTGGTAGAATCCAGAACCCTGAAGCAAACTACAGGATCCTGGAGGTCACATCCCTCATTTCAGATAGTGGAGATTAATTTTCTGAAGGTCAGCATGGTTGGTCAGATACCCATAATCAAAGCCCAACTTCCTTCACAAGCTATTTTTTCAAGAGCTGCCTAAAGTGTTATACCCAAAGATAACATTTCCATAGATACATCCCTGAAGCTTCTAGGTATCTCAGACTAGTTTAGCCAGTTAATGAAAAGGTAAATTACATCTGACAGCCCTGCTAGTGATTTTGGTCTTTTTAATATTAAGAAGCTTTAAATTTAGATAAGACTGTTTAATTCATACTGTAACAAAACAGTTTGACTACAGAAGTTATCACGAAGTTTAGATTTTAGTATCATTTAAAAATTTTTGCTAGAAAGTTTTCAGTGGATACTGACTAGAAGAATTAAAGTTCCAATCTGATTTTCTATCAGATTTGTAACATAAAGAAGTCATTATTCTTTATTAAGTAAATAATAAAATGATGTGTTCTATGGTAGAATGAATGAAAAGCACTACTCATAAGGAAATGTTTCCTGTTCCCTTCAATCTAAATATTACATAGGTATTAAAATCTATTTTTAGAAGATGGAGGGAGGTGGAGTTAACACTGAGCACATCAGAACTCTATCCCATCTTTCTCTCACCCATCCCTATACCAAGGTGCTGCTATTCTCCAAAGAGTTTCTGTGCTTGGAAACATGTTGCTGGGGATGGGAAATAGTGGAGAAGCTCTAAATTCTATCATACAGGGCAGAAATGCAATCAAGCCTGATTTCCTCTGCCCAGGAAACAGTAAGACTGAGTGCTCTGAATCCTCTTTCACTGCTATGCTTTTCAGGCCCTTGTTGGGTACACAACTCATGACGTAGACATCAGAGATCCTCAAAGAGACAAAAGGGTTAGTAACCTGTCAGTAGTACTGAGTTTCTGGGCCACTCTGAGACGTAAGTAAATTCCATAAATGGAAACAAGTATGTATTTTAAAACCCCAGGCATTCTCTTAAGGAATTAAATAAAACCTTATGTTTAGTGAGCACTAATTAATACTACTAAACCACCGATATAATTGTTCCAATGTGTTATAACTTACATGTAAATTATCTATTAATAAATTTTGCATATTGATGCCTTAATACACAAAGAGGTGTGTTTTTCCAACACTTGAAATGTTAAATCTACTTGACAGGTTTAATGAAAAAAAAAAAATACAATGAGGAATTTTTACGACCGGGAAGTCTTTCAGGGTCACTATTTTCTTTTTTTTTTTTTTACCAATAAAAGCCATAGGGAATCATGACAGGTTATCAAGAAAGAATGTATCATTAGGCCATCCATGCAGAGTTTTATTTATTTGACTAACAAAACTCCTTATAAGATAAACACTGGCAACTTACTTTACCTCTTCTGATTTTTTCCCCACTTCATTAAAAACCCAAGCAAGCAACGTTTTGTTTGTTTGAGACAGGGTCTCGTTATATATAGCCCAGGCTGGCCTCAAACTCACAGTAATCCTCCTGTTTCAACCTCCCAAGTGCTGGGATCACAGGTGTGCACCACCACACCTGGCAAAAGCAACATTTAAAATCTCTACACTTTAAGGATACTCGGAGTATGTATGTATAGAGACTGGTTTTTCTTCTTTTGCACTGCTAAGGATCAAACCCAGGGTCTTATACATGCTGGGCAAGCACTGTATCACTGAGCTACATCGCCAACCCCCTGCAGTATATATGCACAAATGCTCTTAAAAATTATACATAAGACACTAAATTCTGAGATATTTAGATCACAAGTTCTAAATTCAATTTACTAATCTACTTTAATTAGTAAATAATGAAAATGTGAACTTTAAAAAAAAAAAACCTCCATTTTAAAGAGGTCAGACCAACAAGACAATTTTTTACAGCATTACTATTACTTTCTTGTTTAGTTACCTTTATTTCTTTGGAGAGCACACTCTCTTCTTCTTCATGAATATAAAATTTCACAGTATTTTTCCGGACATCTTTCATGATTTTAACCAAACTATTGAATACTTCAGGTTCTAACTGGCTTATGAAATTTGAAAGAGCAGGTTGGGCAGAAATGTTTATATCACTAGGTGATTTTGTTTCTTTTTCTGCTGGTTCCCGAGCAGAATCACCAGGTACAGTATGATCAGAAGTCACCATTAACTCAGCAGCATGGTGTGGCTGGTTCACTTCTCCTTCAGTTAAACCCAAAGTTGAAGATGAATGCTGTTCAAGAGAGTCGGCATCTTTCAAAGCATTGCTACAAACTGGCTCGAGGAGGGGTTTACTGTTGAAGTCACTTGAGGAAACTGACACAACATGCCTTCCAAGAGGATTCAATTCTATTGTAGTACCAAAATCATCGGCGTTCACTGGTTTCAAATTCCCACCCTTAGCTGATGCCTTAGTGATAATAGTATTTAGCTTCTCATGCAAACCATCTACAAATTCCTGTACACCAGCTTTGGAAGTCTTAGAATATATGAACTCAGAAAGTCGTTTTATCTTCTCTTGTGTTGCAAAGATAGGTGTAGAAATTTTACTGATATATAAAACATTGTTTTGCTTCAAAATCTCTTCTATCTTCCTAGAAAAGATACTGTATTCTCCTAACACTGTTCTCTCTGTAGTTTCACTCACTGTGGACGGCTCTGTTGCTGGCACACACTGCTCCTCCACTGTCACCACCTGACCTGTCAGTACGCCATCCTCAGTGGTGCCCTTTAGTGTGTCTGTAAATGGAGAGGATGGAAACTGGTAATCAGAACTTCTCTGTCTACTTATTACCCGGGGATCGTTAGGAAAGGCCTCTTGTGGTGGCAGGCACACCAGCTGTTCGTCTGGTGATCTCATACCTATATAGGAAGAGTTATTGTTACAAAAGCAATCAAAAAAATTAACATTTGAAAACAAACTCTTAAATCAGGAAAAAAAAAAAAGGTCAAGTATAGATTACGAACTAAATTAGGTATCAGAAAGTAAAATAGAAACCTCAATTACTGGTGTGAACCCTTTGTCCTATGTGCCTGACCTAGTTAGCCTGGTCTTCAGATTTCAGTATGCAGAGTAACAACTTCGAATGTTACTTTCTTTCTTTTGAAAGTGTTCAACAGAGACTATCTGGTATCAGTACAAGTTAAGTCACTGCTTCTTTTTGGTTCCTTATCATTCTATAGATCTGACTTTATAATAGACACATTTTAACCAAGGTGGTCAGTTACATCAGCTTTTTCAACTACCATATTCCTTGCCAGGCAACGTCAACTATGAGAACACTCCCTTGATATGAGAACTGAGTACAAGGCAGCCAACAAAGTGCCAAACAGAGATGTGGAATAACTGCTAAGCGTTTAGGCTTTAGGGTTTAGGGTAATCTTCTCTGTGTTGAGAATTTTTCTCACGGGGTTGCCGAGTGGATTTCCTGACATGTTAGGAAAATGTTAGTTCACTGTACCAGAAAAAAAGCTCAATAAGACAGGAAGAGTATTTCATAGCTGGGTTAAAACTAATACTTTGACAGCACTTTCTTAAGTATTTCATTTTGTGTGGAAACAATTCTAAGAAATCAGGACATCTACGATCTCATTTATCTTCTCAGAATAAAGACAGCTTTCAGTTAGTTCACGATAATCAGACAACTTTTGACTCTACAACCAGCTCAATTTACAAATCATACTTTGTCCCACAAATCTTTTTTTTGGGGGGGTGGGTGGCAATGCTGGGGATTGAACCTAGGGCCTTGTACATACTAGACAAGTGCTCTACCACTAAGCTACATCCCCCAAACCTTGTCCCACAAATCTTAAATTCAAACATGGTACATTTTCAAAACATTTCAAAATAAGTATCCTAAATCCATCTTAGAAAAACAAGGGAAATTATATTTAACTTCAATTTACACTAATATATTTTAGGAAAAGAAAACAATTGATCTTTACCTAGATGACCATACTACACAAGTTTCCCTTTTTAAAAATTACTAATTTTCCTTAGGACTTGGCCAATTGCTGCTATAATACAGGAAATGGTACCTCTAAATCAGAAAGTCTACCTAAAAGGTTTCAAGCCCATGGACTTTAGAGATAAGGCTATCTCCTCACTTAAGTTCACACCCAGGTTTACCAGCATGCTCTCTGCACAAAATTCTGTTTTGATTTTCCCCACACCCACCCTTTTGAAATGTTTACACAGCCTCAATCAGCACCAATCAGCTTCTAACATTCTCTGCCAATCCTGGTGATCACCGTGAACCACAGCATGTATTAACTTCTGCAAAGACACTGGCTGGTAAAGATCATAGTAGGCCCAAAGGTAGAAGTGAGAAGGGAAAAAAGGTATCCATCTTGTAGAGGTAAGAATCATAACTGTAAAACTGATAAAACAAAATTAAAGTTTCTCTAAGATTTCTCAACAATATTCAGCGTTGGGCTGGGGATGTGGCTCATGCATAAGGCCTTGGGTTCAATCACCAGAGCCACAAAAATAAAAATAAAAAAATTCAATGTCCTCCTTAAATTTATATTAAAATAAGAGTTTAGTACACATATAAAATGTCTGGAAGCCGGGGGGTGGTGGCATACGCCTATAATCCCAGCACTTGGGAGGCTGAGGCAGGAGGAGCCATGCAAGTTCAAGAACAGACTGGGCTATAAAGTGAGTTCAAGCCCTGCCTAAACTGCATAGTGAGACCCTGTCTCAGAAAGACAAAAAAAAAAAAAAAAGTCTGGAAAGTTGACCCATTGAGAGGAAACTAAGTGGACTTTCTTTAGGATTTTTTTTTTTTTTTCTTCAGTAAGTAAACAACACTTAATTTTACTTTAACCAATTTTCTCCATATGATTTTAGGGTCAACAACCTTATTATTTTAAAGAAAATCTTCATCAATAAATGATCTAAAAGACACGTATGTCTCAATATCCATAATAATGAGTATCATCAGAGCACCGTAGTATTTTGACTTACAAGTGGAAGGGAAGTAGTGAGGAGAGGACATGATTCAGATTACTTACTCTTTCAGTTACAAAATATGAACACAGTACCCCCAATAAGAGAAATGCAGATGCCTATGGAGCACTGAGAAGCACAAGCAAGACACCTGCTATTCTTAATGACAAAGAATTACCGATAGATGCATAATTAACCACTCAATCTAATTATTTAAATACAGGATGATAATACTTGCCTATTTCTTCACTAAGTTTTATAAAATAATAGTGGGAAACATAAAAATGACAATTTTGCTGGGTAGTGGTGCAGGCATATAATATTAGCACTTGGGAGGCTAAGGCAAGAGGCTCACCCTGGCTACATAAAAGCAGCCTGGGCTACACAGTGAGTTCAAGGCCAGCCTGAACTACATAATGACACCCTGTCTCAAAACAACAACAGCAAAACAAACCACCATTCTAACGAATTTATTCAATACAAGAATCAGCTGGTTAAAATGATGCCTGCCCTAGAGACACTTGGGGTAGGCAGTACATTAACGCACTGCCCAAGTGACACTCAAGTTAAACTTGAGTGTCTATATATAAATCATCGGTTAATGATTTATATATACACATGGTACTGTCTAAACTTTCTATAATCATTAAAACTTAAATCAATGCCCTACTGATGGAGAACCAGAAATTCAAGTAGCAATTCTAAAGAAAGACACACTGGAAGGAAAGGAAGGAAAGCAAGCCTTCTCACCTGGTGTTTGTTTCTCACTGTGTTTCCCCGGCTGGTCTTCTGGGCTTTTTGTATCCCCTCCTGAGGAAAAGCAAGAGATTTATAGATTCTTCAGACAGCAGGGACACCTACTAAGTACTGTTCAGACAACCCCAAGTCTAACACATGTGAGTATTCCTTCCTTTGCCTAAAATATTCCTGGCAGGTCTTCTGGGAATGGGAAGTTCCTTCCCATTCAGGTAACGAGATATCAACACCCAGATGGCATGCCTTCAAGTGGCTCTCAACACCAAGTATGAAGGTGTTTAAATGAGGAATGGTTAGGATAATCATCTCTTAACTATTTCCCTGTTCTCCTTCTCTCATGTAAGTCTCCAGCCCCCCCTACCCAAAAAAAAAGAGTACCAGTTCCTACTGCATCATCCCCTCTGGGCCAATTGTCCTTTCTAATAAGTCACCAAGTGGAGAACAGGGCCAGTAGAAGCCCACAGAAACTGAAGTTTTAGAAATTCTCAAAATCCTTGCAAGTCTTATAGGTTCTAGATCACAAGCCAAGCTACATTTCAGCAAATAGTTGGTTTTTCTTAAAGCTTAAATAAATGACCAGGAATAAACAAGATGTCCCTTGGATACATTTCCAAAAATATTTAGTTAGCAAAGATGAGTAAGAACTTGGAATATTGAGAGTATATATTTATATGGATTTATACAAAGAAATTAGAATACTATAAAACAATAATCTTTCAATATTTGCCTAACTATTCTTGCCCCATATCAAAAAGCTTTAGCATATATGCATTTCATCACTTCAGGCCATTATCTAACATGATCTAATCTGTTTAAGATAATTCAATATTAATACATTCACAATGAGGCTAAAATTTGTATGTCTCACTGCGGGGAGATTTGAACCACTGGTAGTACATGTATGACTTGTCCCAGCAGGCAGCTTTTCATTAATTTTATTAGTAAACAGTGATAAGATTTGGTTGTACCACTAGTGATACAAGCAGCATGATGGGACAATCATGCATGTACTACCAGTGGCTTAAGCTGGCAGGAACAAGTTAAATCACACAATGAACCTTAACGTGACCACTTATTAGAAGACAGCTTGTTATAGTGAAGTTCAAGAAGTACTGGTACCCAAAGAGCATCCTTTCATCTCTACCTTTAACTTCCCTCACAAGAAACTTGTTTCCTGACAATTTTCATTTGATCATCTGCAGACATGATTCCCTGGGGACAGTATGTCCTAAATCTCTGTTAATAGGTCCTTTTGGAGATACCTGACGATGCCAACCAAGAACAGCGTCACTCAGTGACAAACATTACACTGTTCAAAATATAAGACTGAAGATGTCACAGCCAGGTAAGATGAAGCACCTCAGTAAACCAAGAGTGGGACAGAAAAGATGAAACCCTTCAAGAAACTGATCCATAAGTAAAAGGAAGGAAGCTGGGCATGGTGGTGCACACCTGTAATCCCAGCACTCGAGCACTGTTGCAAGTTCGAGGCCAGCCTGGGCTACAAAGTGAGCTCAAGGCCAGTCTGAACTGCAGAGTGAGACCCTGTCTCAAAAAGACAAAAAAAAAAGTAAAATGAGGGAACCTAAGACCTAATACATTTATTCTTACCTGTAATTGGAATCAGTTTCCAGTGTATTTCAGTCTCTTCAACATTATTTGCCTTAGAGTGTTGTCTATGGAACCCATGCTCAATGGGAACAGTGGGACACAAACTGCAATCTTCAAAATTATTCACGTTAATTAAATTTGGATCCTAAAAATTAAAGTACATATTCAGTAGCTTTTTTTTTAGTAAGTTTTAATGTCAATAATATTTTTTCAGAGGAAATTCACAAGTTTCAACCTAAACACCACAAACTAGTAATATCAACATGGTAAAGTGATAATACTGTCTCAAAACAAAAACAATTCTTCCTCTCAAAACGTAATTTGATGTTTATTTACAGCAGTGACTCAGAAACTTATGGTAAGGAACAGGCAGTAAATATTTTAGACTTTGCAGGCCATATATTCAACTCTGCACTGTAGCATAAAGACAGCCACAGACAAAATCAAGTGGACTCTGGACCACAGCCATCAACCTGAGTATTAAATATATTGGGAAATACTAACAACACAGTTCAGTATCTCAATGTCTACCTTACATACTTCCCTATTTAAGCCTCCTATCATTTCCCCCCTAAATATCCCAAAAGAACATGAAGGCGAAGGACATGCACACATGACTTTTAGTCAAAGGTAGAGAAAAATGAATTAGAAATAAGTGCAGAGGAATATGGTACCATCCTGGTGGTGGTCTCAATGATGCAGCCACTTCTTAAAGGAGATTAAGCTATTTTTCAGCTATACAGCAAACCTCTAAGCAATAACTATAAATAAACTAGACCCCTTAGTAAGAAAGGCTAAGAGCTACTTCATAGGTACTCTCAATAGCCACTCATTTTACATTACTACTTACATGAGAAATATAAAGTACACACCCTAATTGTTACCCTGGGGCAACGAGTTCAATCATGGCCTCCTCATTAAATTTTCTGTTAAGTGACACCAGATAGCAGCCAATGCTTTGAGGACTCAATTTTATTATGAAATATGGAATTAACTTCCAATATGCCACTTCTGACATTGTCCAGCTTTAGTTTTTTACCGTAATGAGTAGATTTTATTCTATATATAAACCCTACAAGCAGGAAGGAAAACAACACTTTGGCATTTATATATTTGTAACAAAACTTGGAAGCACCACGCTGGACAGACATCTTTACTGAGAAATATATTTTAGTTCTTCTGAAGGGAAAAACCACTCTATGAAGCATACTCATGCTCTCTGTGAAATACAGTGAAAAACAAACAAAAGTAACCAAAAGATACATGCTTACATCTTTCAAATGCAGCTTATGGTCAATGCCTACTTCACTGGTGGATGCAGCAACAGGATACTTTAAAGATGAAGTATTAACTTCTAAGAGTGGGCTCTGAACACCCTTAAAGTGTACATTTTCAATTTTTGTACAAGTAGGCTGTTCGTATTCTTTCTTATCCGAGATACAGTTCGATGCATGCTTCTGCCTCAGCTCTTCATAGGCATCATCAGTGTTCAACCCTAAGGCTTTATTGACTGTGTCTGTCAGGGACGCATCAGAATGGCGTGCATTTGCTAGTGTCTCTGACAGCAAGTTGAACAGCGTATGAATGTCACCAACACCAGAGTTACAGGTATCCTGCTGCTGCTGCTGTCTCAAGTCAGCATCATGCCCAACTAAGGCAACAGGCTGTGGAGACTCTGAGAAAAAAGAAAAGTTCAAAAGTCAACATACACAAGTCAAACAAACCTTTAAATTACTTATAGGAAATTTATGGGGACAATTCATACAAGTGGGACTTCAGTTTTACAAACCTTTAAATTACTTATAGGAAATTTATGGGGACAATTCATACAAGTGGGACTTCAGTTTTACAAACATGACCATCCCTTTCTTTAAAATTCATTGGTTGTAAAATTTTGCACACAGTTCAAACTTGCTATTATATGTGGATAATATATTAATAACCATACTACAGTTGCCTTAAATTCTACCACCAAAATCCTAGTCAATTAGTTGCTTGACAAAAGATGAAACACTTGCACTTGCTATTTTGCCAGTTACTAGGAAGAGATGCCAATTACTTCAAATCTACTAACAACCTTGACTTTATTTCTACTACCTCCATCCCTCTTATATTTTATCCTTAAAGCACTCTTTATCTTCTATGCCTTATCTTGAATGACCAAATTACTTAAAATTCATAATGATGCTAGGATATTAAAGATACCAAAGAAATCTCCACCAAACTTGCAGCAAGAAAAGAAGACAATGAGAGAAAATATGTTAAGACAGGGTTCCAGGCAGGTATAAATTTGGACAATATGCCCAATTAACATATTTAAAACTTTCACAGTAGCAGACATTCAGAAAATCATGTTATTTCAGCCAGGCATGGTGGTGCACACCTATAATCCCAGATAATTCCGAGGCTGAGGGAGGAGGATTGGCAGTTTAAGGCCAGCATGGGCAACTTAGTGAGACCCTGAATCGAAAAAATGGGAAGTCATGTGTTTTGATGCTGGAGTGGATATTATGATTTCTAATTTAGGAAGAATGTAAGGAATCACAGTAAAAACAAAAGAAACAATAGATTACATACTTATTCTAATTACATGTAATATTATATAATTATGATTCTAATAATAGAAAATTATAGAGCAGGCAAAACTAATCTAGAGATAAAAAGAGCAGCAGTAGGTCTGGGTGATCTTAACTACAAAGCGACTTCTGAAGGGTAATGAAAATATTCTAAATATTGGAGTGGTGGCTACACAACTGTCAAAACTCACTAGATTGTGTGCTTAAAATGGGTACACTGTATACATATTGTACCTCAAAAAGCAGAGGAGGGGTTTCAAACCTCATAAAATGAGTATGTTCATTCACCAAATCAAGAGCAGGATATTTTAAGTTATGATCCAGCCTTCAAATCTCTACTTTCAAAAACAAACAAACAAAAAATGCAAAATAAAAATACACAAGAAATTCCTAGAAATCTTATCTACACACTTCTTCCCTAGCCTCATTTTGCTTTTAAGCTTTCCAGTTATGTATTTAGGTATGTATGTATGTATTTTGACAGGGTCTTGCTATGCAGTTTAAGTTGCCCTGACTATATAGCCCAGGCTGGCTTCAAACTCAGCAGTTCTCCTACCTCTGCCTCATGAGTGCGAGTATCACAGTCGTGCGCCATCATGCTTGGCTCCTACCACTTACATTATTAACAAAAGCTGACTGTTGCCAGGCAAGGTGCCACATGCCTATAATCCCAGCACTTGGGAGGCTGAGGCAGGAGGATCACTGCAAGTTTGGGGCCAGCCTGGGCAAGTGAGCTCAAAGCCAGGCTGAACTACATAGTGAGACCTTGTTTCAAAAAGACAAAAAGAAAAAAAAAAA